GTTGAAATACAGACCTGAGTTTGAACTCCGGTGCATGCAGATGTGTAAAAAATACTGCAATTCTGAAATAGCCCCCAGGGCTAGTGAGTTCTTGAGATGATGATCCTCTAGGCGTTCGTCTTTTGAAAAGAAGGAAAGGAGAAGAAGAAAAATATAAAAGAGGAGGAAAGAAAGAAAAAATAACTGGTGAAGGTCAGTCACCCTTTACCGAGAGTGAAAGGTGTTGGTGTTGCGATAAGCAATGAACAGCATGGGCTTTTGCTCTGAATGTGACCACCTTCGTCACCCGAATATGCCAACGTACGGTCTGGGTATCTTTCAGTCTACATGCACAGCAGTAATGACCGTACGTTGTATTCGGGTGAAAAAGCTAGTTATGTCTTCCGGTGTGAAGAGGATACAATTTTTTCCCCGTCCTAAAATGTGCCAGTCATTACCAGTGTGAACACGAAGCTGTTCTGTTTGTTTGTGTGTGTGTGTGTGTGTGAATTGCGTCCGTTTGTTCTTGTGATCAATGGTGTTCTAGAAATGTGTTGTCTTCCGGCAGAAATGCCTGCTCCGCTGTTGTAATATAATGGGAAAATTGTTGAAACCCCCCTAAAAGTTTGGGTATTTCGTCAGGTACTCCTAAGACGCAGGGGTATGCTGAAATGCCTCAAACTTCTGCATCTGCCTGCATCCCGCTCATTCGCAACTTCGCCGGATGCCCTGGCCCTGGGCTGCACGGACCCGTCCGTTTCTTTTCCCATGTTCAGAGGGCCTAATGGCCTATAGACAAGTTGCCCAGGGCCCTGTAAGGGTGTTTGCAAAATATGACATGTCCAATTGGCGAGTGGAGTATTTCGCAAGGTTTCCCAACTGTCATAGGGGCATTTTGCCATACCCATGCCTCTTAGGGGTATCTGATGAAATACCCGAACTTTTAGGGACATTTCAACAACTTTCCCTTATATAATATATCCAGGGCCTTACCTATAATTACTACCTTTCCAAGGCACTTAAATGGATGTGGTAGGTACAGTTATGGTTCCCTTGCATCATGCCTCATCATGCGCACGAAAGACGACCATCTTGCCTCGAACACAACTCCAGGTCATGGTGTCTGTATCTGCTAAGAAAGTTGCAGCAGTGGTGCCCGCCGGTCTTCTCTCTAGGAAACAGAGGGCAGGCCTTCAGCAGGGCTCTGTTGCCGTCGAGGAAGTGATGGTGGAGCCTCTCATTGTAGCTGCTTGTCAAGCTGGACATCCAATCGGAATGTACTGCGGGGGGGTGTCATCTCGCTCGAAATCCATGGCCAGGCAAATTGGGCCTCTCATGCTACCGGTTTTGCACGGATGCTGTATTGGGACTGGAAAGTGACCCCAATACAGCTATAATGAGGGGGCATTGCATTCAGGTGAACACGGTATGGAAACCAAATATTCCGGTCTTTTTTAGAAATGGACCAAGTTCCAGAATCCTTTTAAAAGGTCAATTGTTGCATCTGGTGCGTATGGTCTTCATGCCAACGCTTGCGCATTGAGGGCGCGATTGTTATGTACGACTAAGGGCGTCAATTTTTTAACCAAGTAAAAAGAATGAGATGAATCGAAGTTGGGGAACGGAAGGGGGTGATGCTTCCTTCCCTTGTTGTATGCTAGCTGAAACAACCACTTCAACCGAGCGAGGCACTTTTCTCCGATACGAAATCACTTTGCGCACAAAAAGAGAATGAACCGGTGCTGATTTCTTTTGGAATGATATGAACCGAAGTTGGGGAACGGAAGGGGGTGGTGCTTCCTTCCCTTGTTGTATGCTAGCTGAAACCACCACTTCTTCCGAGCGAGGCACTTTTCTCCGATACGAAATCACTCTGCGCACAAAAAGAGAATGAACCGGTGCTGATTTCTTTTGGCTGGTGCCGCCAGGGAACCATTCTGCTCCGGTATCCGAGCTCTGGAAAATGCAGGGCGTGAATGGACCACGGCTGAAACGAATGGCTGGGCCATGCACTGGTGGTTGTATGTAGTCATGGTCCGAATTGGTCTGTCACCCAGGTTGAGAATCTGGTTGGTCATTGGGAATTTGGTCGGTGATCTAGACCAGGTTTGTGGTCAAGATTCTTGTTCGTAATTCTGACCAGGTTCGTGAACTGCACCAGGTTTGTGGTCAAGAATCTGGTTTGTAAGTTGGACCAGGTTTGTGATCCGAAATCTGTTTGGCAGTCGACGACCAGGTTTGTGCACAGGACGACTGGGGGATGGGGGGATGGGGGATGGGGGGGAGGACGTCATCCTAATTTCGTATTGAACTGCTGATGGAGGCAGCACGAATGAGCTGTGTCTGTGGGATATGCTGTCGTGTCTCTCTGCTTTTCTGTTGGACTGTCACGTGTTCTCCTCGGTGGTCAGTGGTCAGTGCCTTTCGAAACAGTCTGACAATGAAACGATTTGTCTGGCAATGTATCATCAGACGGTCTGACGATCCATCTGACAGGCGACTAGCCGGTTGTTTCCATGGCACTTGTCTGTCTGATGGATGAGGTACTTTTGCAGGAATCTTTTGTTCATGGGCGTTCTTGTATCGTCGAATTTTGCTGCAGTGTGACGTACTTCATCAGCTTGCACGCACCACTGACATGCCGTGATATTGTCGGAACTGTCAGGGACGGGAGGAGAGAGCATCTATGGCGGCAAGTTTGAAGGTGAGAAACGCTGTCACCCCCCAGATATCTGCATGCTCCTGGTGTTTGTGTATTCAACCTTGTGCGACGGATAACCAATGATTTCCCCCTTTGCAAGGTAATGAGAGTGAAGGTGGTGGGACGCAGGGCTGGTGTATCTCTCTTCCTCTCGCTGCGTCGGCTGCTCTTTTTTTTGTTTTTGTTTTTCCTCTCTTCTTCCTTTGCACCCTCCCCCAACTTTTGCAGGGCTGTATCTTGCAAATCGTTGAAAGGGCCCTTTCTCTCCACTGTGCCCTGTTTTTTTTTTTTTTTTTTTTTTTTTGTGGATCGCTGTTCCACTGGCAGGAAATCGAACGAGGAGAGGGGACAATTACCGACTCGTGTTATGGTCGAAGGGCCTTCAACAGAAGGAAGAATGTGATGAACGTTGGCGTCTCGGTTTATCTAACGTGTCCAGAGCTTTTAGCTTTTAGCCGACTCTCGTTGCCAAGGGCGTTGTTGGCGTCTGGGTTTATCTAACATTTCCAGAGCTTCTAGCTTTTTGAGATTGCGCTTAGAATTCGTTTCAGGAAGTGGATGTTCGAAGCAGTGGCCTCCGCCGTACTCGAGATAGCTGGTTTTCCACGAAATCTCTTGAGGTAGAGTATAGATAGGTCTCCGTGCGAGCTATAGTTATGGCACCCATGAAAGTTAGCAGCAGTGTCGGGCGTCTTGTGGCTGGTTGCAGTTTCAAATGCATTATGTAATTTGAATTTCTTCTCAAACAGAATTTGGTACACCCACGAACTGTTGACATACAGACCCAAGTTCGAATCCAGATTCAACCAGCTACCTTCTTCCCCCGAACATAACGCATATGCGTTGTAAGCGAATACAATGCATAGGGTGCATTCTATTCGAATACACCAGACATGTGCTCTATTCGAATAGCCCTAAATCTCAAATACAACGCATATGCGTTCTATTCGATTTTTTTTGGAAATTTGAAAACTCTAATACAGCGCATATGTTCGAATCCAGATTCAACCAGCTACCTGCTTCCCCCAAACATAACGCATATGCACTGTAAGCGAATACGATGCATAGGGTGCTTTCTATTGGAATACAACACACGTGCTCTATTCGAATAGCCCTAAATTTCGAATACAACACATATGCGTTCTATTTGATTTTTTTTGCAAATTCAAAAACTCGAATATGCGCTATGTTCGGGGGAAGAAGGTAGTAGAAGAGAATGAAAACCATTCTGAATTATCTGGGGTTCGGTCAATTCAAGGATGATGATATCTCAAGGCTGTAGCCCTTTGAAGAAGGGAAAGAGGAAAACAAATTTGAGAATTTAAGGCTTCAGGTTGACAAGAGATGGTATCCGTTTTCTAGCCACCGACACAAGATCTGAAAGGATGAGAGGGATGGCTTTGGCCTCTTGTTGGCATCCCCTCGCATAGAAGCATATGATATATGATACACAGCGGTTAGGGGTTTGACCTCTGGGTTTATCGACTGTTGTCACAGCACTTACAATGAGGATTCGAACTGCGGTCTGTACTAGTTGATGTACTTGAGAAGTTGTTCCTCTATTTCAACAGTTCATGGGTGTACCAACTCAGCTAAGGCTCATTGGTTGTCACAGCTTTTTCGTTGGGAGATTTCTCTTTGAATTCTGTTAGGATGGTGATGTTGGGGGAGGGAAATGTGAGAATGTCCTGCAGAGGCCTCAATGGCAAAGCGAATACCACGGTTGAGTCGAAGACTCTTAATTGTGTATGACCATGGGCAATGCGTGCTCTCCTCACTGTACTGGGGCATATGCTCACTCAAGGAAGGCCTCGATGGCACAGCAAAGACCACGGCTGAGTCTAAGACTCTTCAAGTGTGTACGATCATATTGGCAATGCGTGGTCTCCTCACTGTACTTTGGCATGCTCACTCAAGGACTTTCCTGGATGCATCTGACCACAATTAGGGTTGTATTCGGTCCAGAAACTCTCAGTGCGAGTACGCCCTTATTTGTCTTCACCTAATTCGCATGAATGAGAAGAGATGTGGGATTGCAGCTGTATGTATGTACGCCGCTGAATGGTTCGACCGCTTAACGTTTTCTTGAAGAAACTTGCCATTCTGACAGTTTTGGAAGGACCTGGTCTTTTGCATGTATAGAGGTCCTATCCTGTGCGGGCATGCGCGTGGCAGCAGAGGAGGGCAGAAATCAAATTGGCGCACTTCATTTCCTTTGTGTCGGCATGAAAGATTTCCCGGCGTTTGTCAGAGCTGTGTGTTGCTGAGTTTCCACTTAAAAGCCAAATCTGCGTCCGGGCCTCTACTCTACTAACTGTCTCTCGATGGATCTGCTTTCATTGCAAAGTTCGCTAATAATTCGACTTGCCCGAGTTTCCCAAGGTTGTGGTTTTTGTGCTCATCGAGGCAGAAAGCAGTCTGGCACAGCCGCTTAACTGGTGGAGTACAGCCTCGACAGCCTTCGATCTCTCCGTCCAGCCGTCATTTCTAGTACTCTACACACGAATGGCATGTTCGGCTGGGCCTGTCTTTGTGTGTTTACCTGATACAGAACTGTACAGCAGTCACAAAAATAAATAAAATACATAAATAAATAAATAAATAAATAAATAAATAAATAAATAAATAAATAAATAAATAAATAAGTAAATAAGAACTGTACAGCAGTTGTTAATCTTTACAGCTGCATGTAATAGAAGGTAAGGTGGATCTGAAGTTCCCACTCAGGGGGAAGTGGGGTATGAGGACCCTGTTCATCCCAGGTGTGAGTAGTGCTGGCATCGCTTAGCCATTGCCAGACATTGGTTATGCAACCGATCGAATACTGACTGAAATTAGGAGTTGTAGTGCTTGCAATGGACGACTTTAATGCCCCACTCCTAGAGGTTTGGGGTTGGAGAAAATAGGTGTGGCTGGTGAAATTAAAGAGCAAATACTACTATATTTGGCAGAGCCTCGAGTTGTGCAAGGGTTGTGTATTCACTACAATCATGTTTTTCATTATTGGTCGAAAGAAGGCAACATGTCCTGGTGGCATCGAGGTTCCTTCTGGCGGGCATGGATGTGTACGGATAGACTGATGTACGAATGGACGGATGTATACAAGACGTGCGAACAGGAACAGAATAGACAGGCAGTCAATAAACAGATTGTTTTCCCATTTTTTTTTGACAGCGACTACTCCCATGATTGGGTGAGTACTACCGATGGGCTTAGCTCGGAAGGTACACCCATAAACTGTTGAAAATTGAAATGCAGACCTGAGTTGGAATCCAGATGGAACCAGATGAACGAAACATCCTGAATTACCGAGGGCCGGTCAGTTTCACGATGATATCTGAAGGCTATCGCCCTTTATGAAAAAAAAGAAAGGATGATTGGGGTAGTACTGCACTAGATCGATTGGTGTCCGCTCCGTTCCTCCTCTCATGATCGCTCCCACCTCAATCATTGGAGCTCCCACCTCAATCATTGGACACCCCGATACAATTTGCGGCAGTGTTGTTTTGGCGCCTACCGCCTATGCCTACCATAGGCGGTAGGCGCGCCTACCAGTCGGGCCGACCTGTAGGTGGACCCGTCGGTGGTCGGCAGACTCCCTAAATGTTTTTTTTTCTTTTTTCTGATGACATGGTCGTGTGGGGCTTGAGGAGAGCAGCCCAAATCCGCAATAAAATTTCTCGGGGTGGTGGGGTTGGATTGGGG